GGGGGCATTAGATGCCGATGCCATCGAGTGTTTGGTGTACCAACAAACCAGTAACCATCGGCTAAACACGGACCAGGAGACCAACTAATCTGGATGCCGCTCCTTGTCTTGTGCCACAATCTCATAGCAGAAGCCATGATAAATGCATAATGCTCTGAATGCTGAAGGTTACGGCAAACAATAACAATTGCATTTGTTGGCACTCCGTCGTCAGCACAGCACAGCACAGCACAGCACAGCCAGGCCCAGCCCAGCCCGGGGCGTCTCCGTCCAGATACCAGATCCCAGGCACATGCATTTCATCGCATTGCATCGCATCGCATCGTGTCGTGTCCTTCCACAGTCATACATCTCCCCGGGTGTGCCTTGTCTCCAGGGGCCTCTTCACTTCATTTCTCTACCCGCTTCCCGCTTCCCTTTTCCCTCTCGCCCCAAACTCTGACTGCAATGCTGAGCGCCTTTGCTGTCTCTGCTCTTGGCTAAGGCGAATGTCCTGTTCCTCGTTTCGCACGTACATTTCCCGCTTGCACTTTGCTTCCAGATAATTGCATTGCCTCTGTCTCGCTCTCTCTATCTCTGACTGCTACTCTTGTTGCCTCTCTTTCCGCACTCTTTGTCTGTGGGAAGTTTCGGTGTATTTATGAAAACCATTTCCGCACAGCAATAAAACTCTCAACACGGTCAACGTCAGCGTCATCTAATCTCGACCCGGAGGCAGCGACAAGTGCCATTAATATTGTTTTTTTCTGCTCTGTATTTTGTTGTTGTTGTTGTTGTTGTTTGTGTGCTCTGTGACATTTTCCGATTATGTGCGGATTTGTTGCACGGCAAAGTGGTCTGCCCCTGCCCCTGCCCCTGGCCCTGGCCCTACCCACCCCACCACTGGTACACTGCACAAAAGTTTGCAATTTACACTTTTGGTGGTGCTGGTGCCTGGTGCCTGGTGCCTGGTTGTACTCTGAAGGACTCGCAAGTCTTAACAAGCTCGAAAACAAGAGAAAACAAATAGGCCAAAAGCCCACAACGATGTCCGATAAGAGCAGCCTCCCCTCCCCTCCCCTGCCCCAGCTCTTATTGTCTCTCTGCAATGTCGAGGTCCTGCCCCTGTCCTGATCCACTTCTAGATTCGCCTTTTTGCTAATGTTTGCTCAATTTAAAAACTTTTCCATCGCCATTTGCATTTGCACGCACATTCGCACGTGCTTATGCAATAACAAAACAATAGCATGGGCGCGCCAGTGGGCGTGTCAGCGGGCGTGGCTGAAGACAGGAAGTGCGAAGTGAAAGAGAGCGCAGCCAAGCGCAAAGAAACGATTTGCATACGAAACACAGAGGCGCAGTCCCAAGGGGGGAGACATCTTCGTTTTCTTCGTCTTCGTTTGCCACAAGCCACCAGACCTTTAGGGAATTTTAACTGAAAATCTATTAATAAATGTGCTGGCAAACGGTGTTTGTGTTCTTTTTGAAGAAAATAGTTGCATAAATATCTACAGATATATTTCTCATAAATGGAATAATAAATATGTTTGAAGTGTGATATTTATTCGGCAAAACACTCGATATTTATGAATGCTTGTGGGTATTTAAATATCTGAGCTCTCCAAGGACAAGCATTTCTATTGTTGGAACGGAATTACCAGTCAGAGAAACCAAACCGGAAAGCAATTAATACAACTGGCAGCAAACATTAAACAACTTCACCTTGGAAGCTTCATAAATGTTTACTCCTAATTAAAAATATGTTCAAATAACTTTACACAGTTTTATAATAGCTTGAATAATTAAATAAAATTTCCATTCAAAAATTATGCAACGTAAAAAAGTTATGTCGGCCCCCCCCCTAAACAATATGTGTATGCCACGCCTCTGTTTACGCACCGTGCCAGGAGGATGACGACAAAGGAAGCAAAGTTTTTTAGAGAAACACGAAAAAAAGAGAGTGTAGAGTGTGGAGAGCCTAGAGAGAGGAGAGAGAAATGAAAGTTAAAAATAAAAAGCAGAAAAGTTTAGTTTAGTTTTTGTTTTTAATTTGGTAATGCAGCATGGAGGAGCATGGAGCATTGGATGGCCTCCAATTGTTGGCCCTGGACAAGGACTTTTTGCTGTTTTCCGACAATTACATTTGATGAAGTTTTACAAATGAGGGGGGCGTGGTCAAGGGGCGGATTAGTCAACTTTTCCATCCGCGAACAAATTGAAATTGAATTTCAATTGTCAAATGGAAAGTAAAACCGAAAAACCCAAACAGAGAGAGAGAGAGAGAGCGGGAAACTAAAACTAAAAAAAAAGTGTCCATGAAATAGATAATGAATGGCCTCTCAGAGATTAAGGAGATAAATGTAAATTAAATTTGAAATTCCATTTGAATGGGAAATAGTAGTAACACGATTTAAGTGGGGAAATATTTATTTTTGCTCGTAATTAATTCGACACAGCCCTTTGTGGGTCCTCGCATCCGTAATCAATTGTTTTCATTTTACATGAATTTCATTTGACAAACGTAAATACATTTAACATATAAATAATTTATAAACAATTTCCAGTTGAGTTGCGCTTGGTACACTTTGATGAATTTTCATTGCACCACGCGCCACTGGGGGGATAATTAATGAATTAAATATCTCGTTTGACGAAAGGGATATTCCAGGACGCAGTTCTGTTCTGTCTCTTTGCTGTGCCAACTTTGATGATTTTTTAATGCGACAACTAAGCGGGGAGACATTAACTAGTTATGGCAGAGCAAAGGAGTGACAATTTCTCAGGATTTTGTTCCTTAAATATATTCTTTGGCTACCGTCCTTAGGAGTAATTCCCTGTTCCTGCTATGATAACAATAAATAAATAAATCCATTCATCCATCCTATTCCAATACTGACATCCTTGGGCCCGCATTTTATGATTGCAGAAATTGCTTGGCATTTCCTAGCAGACGAAGACAAGCAAATTCAATTTCAATTTACTTCATTTCACATGGCATTGTACTGCGCTGTACTGTACGTGTATTAATAAATAAGTAAGGCCCAATGCCAGTTCCATATCGAATGGCATGCCACCATGGTGGGTTGCGTCGATTCCAATTGTTGCTGAGAGAGATGCACTGATGCATCCTTCGCTGTGCACCGAAGAAACCAAAGTCAGAGTCTGATGCGAAATCCAATTCGAAAGATGGAAACATTTTGCGGATAAGCTGGCAGAGATTATCTGGGTATGGGATTCGAAATCAAATTACCGAATGCCCATTGCAGAGTCCTTCATTTACAGGTTAACAATTACCAGGCCTTTCTTATGAGAGATTAGCCCGATGATAGAGGCCAGGGGCCTGCCAGAGGCCAAGCCACAGAGGCCACAGAGGCCCAGACAATAGCTCGTATCTTTGTGGGGCATCATCATCGTCTCTCTGTACGAGCATCTCTGTTTGAGTATCTGCTGCTGCCTCGTTCTGTCTGTGTGGTATCAGTTAATTGATTTGCTTTACGAGTTGCGGCCTGCAGTTGCAGAGTCCGCTGCCATACCATAATATTTTTTTAATATTCTTTCGCCGACTTCTTGGCAATTGGCCATCAAATTAGCTTTGCTTTTTTGGCCCACTGTGCCACATTTATGAATATCAAAACCGATCCTGTGAGTGGCTCCGATGCTGATGCCGATGCGGTTCCAGCCCATAGTGCCCCGTGCCCCGTGCCCCGCCCCACCACGAGTGCCGCCTCCTTCTCATGAAGAGCAGCAAATATAAAAATGTCTACGATATGGCAGGCAGAGGGAAGTCGTGCTGGAGGGGATGGATAGCAGTCGAGCACTGTGGCAAGTCAGCAATTGCAACTGCCAACTGCTGGTGCACTGACACAGGAAATATTATCCGCATTGCCAGGACCTGCCCCTGCCCCTTCCCCTGCCCCTAGCCACCACCCAAGCGACGGCTGCCAGAGAAGAGCAAAAATTGAGGCTGCTGCCAAGGTTTGACTGTGTGTGCTTTGTCGGTGGGGTTGGTGGGGTCGGACTGGTGTGGCAGCAGGGTGACGCTGCTGCAGGACAAAGCGGCAAAAGCGGCCAAGTGAATTCTCAAATACAAATTCAAATGGCAAATTGACAAATGAACCTTTTGAGCTTTTTACGTTTTCATTGTCTGTCCTCCATCGTGTCCCCATCCCGCTATTCATTCCATTTCACGATTCCCCATCTCTGCATCCCAGCAACAGCAGCGGAGCGGATTCAGCGTGTTGCGGTGAGTGCGGGGGTAGGATGTACGGCAGCTTCTTCCAGGAAACCTCATTGTGGGGCTGCTCTTTCAAACGTAGTTTGTGGGGAGTTAAATGAAATTAGACATATTCCGTTGATTAAAATAACTAACAAAACAAGGAATTTGAATGCTCGCAAGCGCAGGCACTGGTGCTGCTGAACCGCTCCTGGCCGAAGTACGCTAACAAAACGGATAGCACACAGAGAGTGGTGAGTGGTGAGAGCGCAGGGTGGAGAGTGTGGAGAGAAAGAGGAACATAAAAGTAAAAAGCATTCGACAGGCTATTGATGCTGATTTTCTAAAGATGCCGATGCCGATGTCGATGCCAATGTCAGGAGTGGAGTATAGGGCCTGCCCTGTTGTCTCCCTTCACCCCTCTCTCTCTGTCTCTCTCTGTCTCTTTGGGTTGCGGATGTAGTTGTGCCTATGCCTGCGGTTTCCTGCTTTGTTGTGTTGTCCAGCTGGACGTACAACAAATTACAAAATGTTGTTGAAAGGCGATTTAAACCTCCATCCATTTGGCACGGGCACCCAATCCTCCAGTTACTCGTGCCATTCTCCCCGTTCCCATTATCTTCCATTCACCGTTCAGGCTCTCTTTCTCTCTCTCTCTCGCTATACGGAACCAAAGCTAAATACAGTAAACAGAGATTACAAACGGGGCAAGTGTATAAGGAGGGGGCGGGGAAACTACAACTACAATGGGCATTGTGTGGAGTGGTTGTCGTAACGCTAATACCGGATTCTCTTTTACATTTTGCAGATTTAAAGAATTTAAAAGAAAGGATTCCCCACAGTACCAGCACCAGTACCATTACCAGTCCCAGCACACAAAAAGAGGCAGGACTAACTTTCCTTTATGCCAGGCAGCAAATTAAAAGAAAAGAACTGAACACAAAACTCAAAAGAGGAGAAGGAGAAGGAGCTACAGCAAGAGCAAAATCAATAAGATACGGAGGAGAGAAGAGTCGTGCAGAGATCTTCTTTCTGCTTTCTGTTTTCTGCTTTGGTTGTGGCAAGTGTAGCCAAAGTGCTGAGTAATGTGGAGTAATGGAGACCTTTTTGCTGGCGGCGGCAACATGATGTGAAACATGGCAATCGAATCAGCCAAAGCCATTTAGGGTCATCAATTGGCAGGGTCGCCGAGGACACGCAGAGAACGCAGAACGCAGCGGGCTGTGAAGAGAAAGCCGCCCAGAGAGAGAGAGAGACGGCAAAAGGGTAGCCAAATGCACAGCATGGAGCAACGAAGGAGCAGCACGACGACCACGATGTGTCTACCAGGTGAGTGCAGGGACGGGGGATGCAGTCCAAACACGTGCTTTATCCTCCACACTCTTTCTTTCCCTCCATTTAGTTTGGTGTTTGTTGATGCTCTGTTTGGTGGCTTGGACTTATGCCGATGACTGGTCCTTGAGCTGCGCTTCGAACTGCACCTGCAAGTGGACGAATGGCAAGAAGTCGGCCATCTGCAGCTCCCTGCAGCTGACCAGCATACCGAGCACTTTGAGCACGGAGCTGCAGGTGCTCGTGCTGAATGACAACCACATACCATACCTGAACCGGGAGGAGTTCTCGGCTTTGGGGCTGCTCAATCTGCAGCGCATTTACCTGAAGAAATCCGAGCTGCAGTACATCCACAAGGAGTCGTTTCGCAGCTTGAAGATCCTCGTGGAGATCGATCTGTCGGACAACCGACTGGAGATGCTCGACAAGGACACGTTCATGGGCAACGATCGCCTGCGGATACTCTACCTGAATGGCAATCCGCTGAAGCGCCTCGCCGCCTACCAGTTCCCCATTCTGCCCCATCTGCGCACCCTGGACATGCACGACTGCCTCATCTCGTACATCGATCCCATGTCGCTGGCCAATCTCAATCTGCTGGAGTTCCTCAACCTCAAGAACAACCTGCTGGAGAGCCTCAGCGAGTATGTGTTCCAGCACATGGCCAACCTGAAGACTCTCTCCCTCGAGGAGAATCCCTGGCAGTGCAACTGCAAGCTGCGGAAGTTCCGCTCCTGGTACGTGGCCAGCCGCCTCAGCTCCGTGAGTCTCGTGTGCAAGGGTCCGCCTGCGCAGAAGGATCGCACCTGGGACAGCGTCGACGATGAGCTCTTCGGCTGTCCGCCCCGCGTCGAGATCTTCAACAACGAGGAAGTGCAGAACATTGACATTGGCAGCAACACGACCTTCAGCTGCCTGGTGTACGGCGATCCACTGCCGGACGTCGCCTGGGAGCTCAACGGCAAGATACTGGACAACGACAATGTGCTCTTCGACACGGAGAGCATTGCCTCGGACAAACTGTGGAGCAACCTGACCGTCTTCAATGTGACCAGCCTGGATGCGGGCACGTACGCCTGCACGGGCGCCAATCCCATCGGGAGCATGACCCAGAACATCAGCATCTACCTCAGCGAGATTGTGCAGCATGTGCTGGTGAAGACGCCAGAGACCTTCTGGTACTTTGGCCTCATCATGGGCATCTTTGGCACCGTCTTCCTGCTCATTGCCATCTCGTTTGTGGTGTGCCTCTGCAAGCGCACCACCCGCCAGCATCGCCATACCAGCAAGGCGGGCGTCAAGTCCAGCGTCAGCTTCAATGACCAGGAGAAGAAGCTCCTGGACTCGAGTGTCACCACCACCACGAATGATCGTGGCGACAGCTACGGCATCGACAACAATCCGAACTCGATCAGCATCAACAAAGCGGACTCGGCCGGTCTGAGCTTCAACCAGATCGAGATCCATGCCGTGGAGAACCATCGCTCTGGCCTGGGCCATGGCACAATGTTGGTGCACCAGCAGCAGCAGGGGCCGCATCAACAGGGGCAGCATCAGCAGCAGGGACAGGGTCAGAACGTGGCACAGCATATGCGGCAGCAGCTGATGACCGTGAAGGATCCCACATGCGGAATGATGACCGTGCCCACGTCTATGGCCGGGCACACACACAGCCACACGCATCCCGGTCAGATCTCCGAGGAGTTTCCCCTCAATGTGGGCGTCTTTCCACCGCCACCCGAGTTCTGCTCAAACATTGTGCCGAATCCGGCCTTTGGGGGCAACATCTTCATTCGCGTCTCCGTCACGCAGGACATGCTCGACGGCGCGGATCTCAACATGTATCCGGATCTGCTGAACATCCCCAAGCGGATGCAGGACGTCCAGTGCAGCGACGGGGGAGCTGGCACTGTGAGCGTGCCCGAGGGCCAGTTCGCCACGCTGCCACGGCACACCACGCGACGTGGCATCCTCAAGAAGGATTCCTCACTGCAGCAGCAGCAGCAGCAGAACCATCACCAGCAACAGCAGCAGCAAGGCGCCACCACTGGCCTGTATCCGCACGATGAGATCGTGACCTACAACCTGGATGCCAGCGGATATGTGGACTCGCATAGCCACCAGACGACCTACCACTGCGTGGGCAATGGCCAGAGTAATCCCATGGAGCTGCCACCGCCTCCCCCACCGCCCGCCGTGACGGCTGTGGTGCAGTGCCACCACCCCAACTCCAGTGCCAGCGTCATGCCACCCGTCTCCGCCGCCAGCTGCGTCAGCTGCATCAACAACGGCCCGCCACAGCCCTCAGCCTGCCAGACGCCACCCATCGATGTGACGCCGCTGCGGCCACTCTGTGGCAAGAGTGGAGGCGGCGGCGTCGATAGTTCCGCGTACCCCAAGTACGACAACATGGGACGCCGCATCACGGCCAGCGGAGGCCTGGGCAACTCCACGCTCTCGCTGCCCGACGACGAGGAGCAGTACGAGAACGAGACGCTCTTCAACGAGAACCAGAACCAGTCCGAGCAGCAGTCCGTCGGCGGAGAGCAGTCGCAGTCGGATCATCATCAGCAGCAGCACCAGACAGAGTCCGGCCAGGGCCAGGACAAGGACAGAGGAGAGTTTGTGTCGCTATAGTATTATGGAACGCAGGTGTAAATAGGTCCAAATAGATTCGTGCCCCCCAGAAACCAGAGACAGTGCCACAGCCAAATCATTCATTCACTCAACCCAACTCCTTGGCAATCGTTTGTTTCATATCAGTTCTCAGACACAGATGAGGTGTACATGTACCAAATAGCAGCCGAAACAATCCTTTGACTGCCACAGCATCACCCACAAAAATGATTAGAATTTACTATAGAGAATCCGAAACAAGAAAGAGAATCCCCCTTTGAATCGCACCACATAGAAACAATGTTATCGCATATAAACTTCTGTATACTTCTGTATACTTGTGTATTCCATTTGGAGATCTCCGAACTGTCCCCAATGCGTAGCTAGAAATCGAATAGTTGTATCCCCCTCTCCGTAATGCTGTAAAGATAATGTAATGCCAGAGATTATAGCGACCAAAAACTGATCTTCATAAGGTATAAATAGATGTCAGATATCCATAGAGATGGAGAGAGCATTTGCTTCTGGGGTGCTAGAGTTTGTTGGTGGAGTGTTTTATTATTGAATTACGTTTTAGAGATCAGACACTGAATAGGATTAGAGCCAGGATGTGGGAATCGTATTCATAGCATCGTCGTAGCATAAACACAAAGAGCATATTACATATTTATACCCATAATGTTAGCAGATTTATTATTATGGCAGATTTAAACACAGGTACAGAAACTATATAGCCAACATCGATGTACAATGATTGAATATATGAATATAGTATATGTATGCAGACAGTCTTTAGTCTTTAGTCTTTAGTCTTTAGTCTCCCTCCCACTTTGAAGTAGTTCCTAATCCCACTTCTTTCTGTACATATGTAAATGTATTGCTAATTGCTTAAGGACTTTTAAATCAAAATCATTTTATACTCCCCTACCTACCTATGTATATCGTATATGGAGAAAGAAACCGAAACGAGTCGTGCCAAATCAAATGTTTTTAAAATCAAATCAAATCAAATGAAATCAAATCTACTTTTAATCTGTTATCCTCTGGCAAATTGTTTTCCCAAATTCCCGCAGCAACTGCTGGGATTATTCGAGGACTCCTAGTACCTATGATTTGTATTGTATTAGCAGTTGTCATCTAGTCAATCTACCCATACATATACGTACATAAATGTAGTGTTTATCCGTTCCTATCCTAGAATACCTATAGAAGAAATCCTTTTAGTTATCAACAGCCCATCACACCCAGCAACACACACAATTTCCCCTGCAAGTAGACCAAATGCAATGTCAGCTAAATCTGAATAAAACATAGATTTATGTATGTATGTATGGCATTAGCATTTACATAAAGTATACATATACATATATATGTATGTATATCTCTGCATATTTGTGTGTAATCTAATTTAATGTAGAAAGAAGTGGAAAAATGGCAAATAAATAAAATCAAAATCTAATTGGGTGAATACGAGAGAGGTCGATGCCAGAGGTACCCCAACACTCTCTCTGCCTCTCTCTCTCTCTCTCTCTCTCTCTCTCTGGGTATATCATATGTAAAGGTATTATTAATTGGTGTGAGATTTTTGTGGAAAACAAAAGAGTGAAGAGCGAGAGAGGGTGAAGGCGAAGAGAGTGGGTGGAGGCACGCATTATAAGTATTTTTTGTGTATGTAGAACGTTTCAAATTCGAGCTTGATAATGTAAAATGTAAGTTATAGAAGTCAATGATAAGTACATGATAAATTTCACTTACATGACCACACCCACACACACACACACACACACACACGTGTGCATGTGTGTGGAATAATTAAACACATGAATGCAATGAATTACTACAATAATTAAGGGGGAAAGTATTCTGGCAAATATTTGTACTACTTCACTTCATTTCACCACCAGGGGATTCCTTTTACCGGGGTTTGCTTTTCCTCGACCCAATTAATTTTTCCTCTGTCGCTGCCGCTGCCGCTGCCGCTGCTGTTGTTGTTGTTGTTGTTGCTGCTGCTGCTGCTGTGTGCAATGTTTGCTGACGTGGTGCGGGAAATTTTGTTTTTTGATATTATGAACTGAACCGAAAGCAAATTTGCACATAGGCACATAGAGCCAGAGCAAACAGCAGCAAACGGCGCTTCCTGGCTGCCACATCCTGCGATTTATTCAGCATCCTTTTCCCCACCAATATGCGTACCTCCTTTTTGACAGCGCAACATTAGCCGTGAATGTTGTAATCAAAGTATTATTGTTTGGTATCCGCTCTAGTAGTTGGCGGATGGCGATGGTGAATGGCGAATGGCGAATGGAAATCCTGCCATTCCTTGGTAGACTTGTACATACATAGATAATTTTAATTACATCGTACACACACCTCTCCCTCTCCCTCTCCCTCTCCCTCTCCCCCCGTCGCGGAGGGGCAGTAATGACTACCGCAGACAGGGGCGATATTTTATTCATTTTAAATCGTTTTAACTAATTAAAAAAACAAATGGAAACCGCCAAAAAGCAGGAGCAAAAGAGACAAGTGTAAACCAACAGCCAAATAGAGAGTAATTGGGTGAATGGCAGGGAGTGGAGAGTGTAAGGAGAAGAGGGAACAGAGATCGGGAGAACCTAACTAGGGAACATTTAAACTATGCTTTTAGCATATTCCCCCATCTGGATTTGCCCACCCGAATAACGGCACGCACGGTACACACGGCCATCCCTGCCCTCTGCCTGGCTCTCTCTCTCTCTCTGTTTCGCTCTCTCTTGGATTTTCCGGGGCAATGCGATGCCGGATGATGATGGAATTGTAACTATCATTTTAATTACTCTGCGTGAATGCAAATGGAAAACACACGCAAATGCACAGATTCTGCAGAGATTTACAGCGGCGAGGGTATGCCGCGTATCTGTGCATCTGCATCTGAGTCCGCATCCGATTGCAGGGCAGGCCATAGAGGAGAGGCGACCGACAGAAAGCAGAGTGCGAGAATGCCAGGGAAAATAAAATTAACCTTTTATGAGTGCTGTGCTGGGCTGTGCTGCTGCGAAGTGCTACCAAAAATAAATTCAACTCAGATGATGAATAGTAGCAACAAATTCTGTACGATATCATTAAAGAAGCAAACAAAAAGAGAGAGAAAGTAAAGGGGAAATACAGCATATTGCATTTTAAGTTGAATTCCGAATATTGAAAGCCGAAATTAGTCAAATTTCAACAATCCACAGGCACAGGCACAGCCACTGCCAGAGAACTCATCCCTAGAGCCCACTCGACTATGCCGAAACCCACTCTGTTCACACACAAACACTACTCTCGTACACACTTAATATTATCCTCGAAACGACATATATACATAGATACAAAACCATTCACGACATGACACACGAATACAGTTGTCAACGAGGACGAAATAATGGTGGATGGATGGGAAAGGGGAAGGGGAAGGAGCAGAGGAAGACTGTGACAGCAGGACAGTAGGACACTAGGACAGTGGGTAAAGCAAACATGGCAGGACAGAACAGAAACAGAAAACATAACAGGATATGCCACGACAGCACAGAACAGCACAGAACAGAACAGAACAGCAGGACAAACAAAAAGGACGTATAACAATATAATCGAAATACACATTGTAATAGCATTAATAGATTGTCAAGCTTTATTACACACTATATTATAAATAGATGGAAACATAATAATAATAATAATAATATAATAATAATAATAATAATAATACCAACCGAAGACACACAAAGAGAAATATGAATACAAATTTAATAAAAGCTAAATAACTCATTTGAGACTTTTTAATGTTGCGGAAAAGGACGGGCGAGTCCTCGTGTGTGGAATATTTTACGACCTATGCCTGAATTGCAATCCCCCAGCATTTACCATCATTATGAGTCAGTTGGAAGTTGGCAGGAAAAAGAAGAAAATCGATTTGATGACATTTCCATAATGGAAAACTTCTCCCTCTATCTGTCTGTCTGTTCTCGTGCAGTCAAATCAGTGTCCTTCCTGTGCGCTTGATGGGAAAGTTCTCGCCAAACAGTGCCTGTCCAACTTCCTCAATATCCTAGTGCGCCCCCCTTCTGGCCTCCTGTGGCCTTTTCCATTCACCAGTTTCATCATCATCAGGCAATCTGCATAATTTGCCAGAGCCGACCTCCTCCTGTGGCATTTCTTGGTGCACTTGCTCCGTATCACTTGTTGATCGTAAACGGTTTTTGGCATATCAAATTTCCGACTTTTTCCACCCATTCCCACTCCCATTCCCACTCCCATTCCCATCATCGTCACGGCCTTTCGAAGCGATAACCAAACTAACATTTGGAGCATTTCCGCGCCTAATCTCCGTTTCCCACTGTGCCGCCACCTCACAAATGCTTCAATAATGACTGCAGAGGAAGCAGCACCCACCACCAAGCATCCTCCCTCCCCATACCCATTCCCACTCGTAATAACATTTTCATCTTAATGCACTCTGAGAGAGCAGCACATTTAGTCAAAAGTTCCTCCTATTCACCTCTACCTCTGCCTCTGAGTCCGCAACTGCGTCAGCAACAACGTCAGCAACATCCGTTTGCGGGCAAATCCACAAAACCACCAAGACCCGAGACCCAAGAGCCATGAGCCAAGAGCCAAGAGCCAAGAGCAGGCTGCAGCCATAGTCATAGCCATAGCCATGGCCATAGCCATTGGAATCGACTGCTGCCACAGTTGCGTTACGGATAGAAACTCTCCAGGGATTGGCACGCATCGAGCACGTACTGCCACGACGACGACGACGACTACGACAACCGCAAACTGCTGCGATTTTCTAAATGTGATCTCCAATCCACCCTCCCACGTTGTCTCTATCTCTCTCTGGCTTTTCTGACTCTTTCATTACCTCTGGCAGCAGCAGCTCGTTCCACAGTTCCACTGTTCTGCTTGCTGTTCTGTTCTGTCTCAGCGTTACGTATGCAACATTCATTTTTGACAAGCATAATTTGCGGCTGGCCTAGGCACAAGGCACCGGGAACCAGGCACCAGAGAGCCATGGGGACCTGCCCCAACTCTAAGGCTTCTATTCCGGTTATTTACAGTTTTCATGGCCTGGCCCTGCACTTTTCTAATGCAAAAATGATGCACTGCACCCACGCGGCCCAAGCAACGAGTGTTTGTATTTGTATGTGGGCGATGGGCCGTGGGCAGTGAGCAGTGAGCGGGGAGAGGTGTCTGTGGTCAGACTGCAGGCGGATTGAGACGTGGGAGAGATGCGGTGCAGTCACTACATGCACTCAATGGAGGTCCAACTGGAGCCACCGCCACCGCCGTCTCCGCACTCCACCCGCCACAGTGGCAATGAAAGTTGGAAACCAATATTTGTGTGTGCGAGACAGAGAGAAGAGCGGAGGGCCCTGAGCCGTGTGCCCTTAGCTCGCCTTCAGGAGCGGCCCTTGCCTAATGGGTAATTGGTTGGGGCGCTGCAGGAAATGTGTGTTTGAAAATCAGGGGGATGAGTTGCTCTGGCAACGAGGATAACTACTTCAAGTTGGCTCTCATTTCGTGGAACAACTGCAGGCGGAATGAATTAGCAAACTTCCTAAAACATTTTACGAAACTTTAAGGGTTCCTCAAACTTGTTGGCCCACACATTGCATACAGCTGGCAATAATAATAATAGTAGGAATACGAAGGAGTTGCCTGGGGAGCTACCCCTGCTTAATATTTAATTAAATTATAAATTGCACCTGAGATTCAGGGACGGGAGACCCTCAAAGTGTTGGAGTCCGCTCCTGTATGCGTCGGCAGGCAAAATAAATCTGTTTGCCAAACAGTTATTGCTCTTGTTTCTGGTCCGCTGCTCCGTTTCCACCATTCCACATCTGAAGCCAATGCCAACTCCTACGCCTACGTTGTCCACCTCTCTCCCACTCTCTGTTTTTCTCTCTGGAGCACTCTTTCTGGCAATATGTGCGCTCATTTTATGCTCTTGCATTTGGCAACGGCTCAATAATTGGCCGGTAGATTGGGAGGGATGGAGTGGCTTTCGACTAGCCCATGACTCAGGTGACCGCAAAGCTTTCTATAAATTTTAAGTCCATGGCAACGATTATGCAAGTTATCTATCTGCCGCTTGAGGCAGGGCCCTCGGTGTCGGGCTTCGTTTGGAATATCCACTCCACTTCAGCTGCCGCCTGTGGCGCAGTGTCCACAAAATGAAATTCAATATGTGTTATGAATGGCACGGCACGCATCTACAGTTTTCCATTCCATACTAAAACCATTTTCTATTTTCCTCTTCTTTTCCGCCAGCAAAACAAACAATGTCCGGATTTTGTAGAAACCCCGTGGCTGGCCGGCCAAGTGCTCAGCAATTTATGCCTGTCTGTCGGTGTGGCGTCGGTTGGGATTGGTAACTGCGAAAGCCTATCCACAGTCACATTGTTTTGCTCTCCATCTCTCTCTCTCTCTCTCTCTATCTCTCTCACACTCTCTTCACTCTGCAAATCAATACCCGCCGCTGCTTAATGGTACATTGCACCTCTGAAGGAAGTTTGCCCCATACACACACTCATATAGTGGTATACCATCATGACCTGTGCCTATCCGCTACCTGGCCATTGATTAAAGTGGTTCCTTTGCAAATTTATGTTCCGAATATTAACCGAATCGCTCCCCGAGGAGCACTCCCTCGCCATTCCACTCCACTCCGCTTCATCCAGCATACACAATCACTCCTCTCCCTCGCAAAAACAGCAAAAAAAGAGCCAAAACTTTTTTCACAATGTACTCGTGTACTGGCACCAACAAACACACACATACACACACACACACACACACACACACAATCGTATAAAAAATGGGGGCATGGCAACTTTTTTAACAGTTTTTGGATTTTGGAATACAAATTATGTAAGTAATCTCAATTTATTGATATATGGAGATGCATGTTTACACGTGGAACAGAAGCAGCACGATCAGGGGGGCATGGGACAAGGGACAGCAGGCACTCCGACATTGTCGCTGTCTGTCTGCCCGAGTGTGACCCTTATGAATGGGCCAACTTTTGTCTTTCTTCGTCGCTTTTTATGCCCCCCGAAGCATTATAATTTGCCATGAATATATGAAAACCGTTTGTAGAAGTTCAACCGTTTTCCCTGGGTTCGACTGTGTGTGGGCTGGGAATGTGGGAACGGGAGGGGACGGGACGGGACGGGACAGGCCCTACCCACTACAGCTGGGGATTGTCAGCCTGGGAAATGGTTTATGTAATGGGATTCATAACTTGTTTACCTGTTAGCCCCCGGGTTTTATGTCCATATCTACTCTAGTGGTGTAGCATCATCCTAGCTTGTCCTACTTTAATGCGCCTTTTAATTTTAATTAAACTTCTCCAAATTGTGATTAAAGGCTTCCGTGTACCTCTGCCACACGCCCGCCCCTTGATTTATGTATTCTAGTTTCAAGGCCGTTTGCCACATTGCAAATTTATACAAATGTTTCTGCATTTCGGTGTATTATGAAGCTAATTATTATACATATATGCAGATGAACGTGATAATCGTGGAAAACTAAACTAATTTTACGAAAAAAGCCAGCTATTTATTACCGCTTGTCTATAGTTGTCTATTGAGTGTGTCCTAAATCTACCTAATTGGTATTCATGCATAGATATGCACATTTATTTATGTATACATATATTCGAAAATTATTAAACACCAATTAATACCATTGCTGTGCATTGAATTCTTAATTTAAATTTAATCTAAGCTCTAAGCATTTGTTTTATGGACTGTTCCGTGAAATATGTCCATTTGTTAATTCCCGATTGGGATTCAAATATTAGCATATTGTTGGACAAATTATGTTCATGCATTTTCTGTTTACATTTGAAAAAGTAACGAATTTGTTGCCGGCGAAGACGACCGCCATTGCGGCGAATTCACACTGGCGGTCGCCCATTGTCGGATGTTTGTGTGTTCGGCGCTAATTGTAACCAATTTTAAGTGTTACGCACCGTATGAGCAATATTTTGTACATCTTGGGAAAGAAGTTATTTAATAAACGAAAACAGGGTATACTCCATAAATAAATTGCATCATTATTTGTATGCGCCAGCAGCATGTTGCGAAAAGTGAGAAACATGCTGCGAAAAGCAGTGTGCAGTTTGCTGCACTGTTCCCCAACATTTGGCACGGAATAAGCAGTGGAAATGATATCTTGGAATTGAAGTAATTTTAGAAATCTAAGGATCCAATCAATGCATTAACAGGACCTTTCTATTTTAATATAAACTTATGTAAATAGAGTATACAAGTTTTATGCTATTTTTGTTGGTTGACGTTTTTAGATTGTAACTTAATTTGTAAACTTTCCAAGAAGAAGTCGTAAAAACTGGCTAATCTTGTGGAGAATTGATTTCTAAATCGGATAAAATAATAATTAAAGTGCGGAGAATCCTAACTGGCTAGTAATATTAGAAAGAACATCAAAATCGAGAAAATTACTTTAGGGTTCGGTATATGTACGGTATTTTTTAAAAAGAAAGGTATATTTTCGTATATTTCTGAGGGTCCGGCGGCATACTTTATCCCTAAATCCACAGTCACACTGGCGTAGCAGGTCCGCGGCAATTTTTGCAAAAATAAATATATAAACGAAAATTAAGTAAGGAAAACGGTGCGTCGATTGCACACAACCCACAATCTGGGTCAGCATTGTAGTGTGAAATTGTTTAAACATTGTGCAGGATAAAGAGAAGACACCATAACAGCCATTCGTCGCCGTCGCAAGAAAAGTAATTGGTAAGACACACATATTGCCCGTCTTTCTCTCGCTCCCCATGCTTGACGGGGCCAGCCAGCAGCTATTACTTTGTATTTACCGAGTGCACATTTTATTTTACAGATCCACACACATTGCGGCAGCCACAACAACAACGAGAGTAGGAGCAGCAGCAGAAGCACAGTTACGCCTGGGGAAACACTCGATAGCGGGAGAGTGGAACCAGAATCTCGCTCAAAGTATTTGCTCTTTCGTTCCACCGACATGGTCGCAGTCGCGTCTGGTGACTGCGACATCCTCCCAGGATCTCTCTGAAGGTGGGTTCTCGTGTACATGCCAATGCGCGTGTGTGTATGTGTGTGCAAAGGCCTACCACGATGCGTAGTTTGCGCAAAATAAAAGAAGCGAATACCGCCACTCGCTGAAGTAGCTCAGGTGACGCAAAACAAAAAACAGTAAAACAAAACCAACAACACGCAAGAACAACCATAGCCCGAGTAGCAGACGGCATCGCCGCACCGAAAGGCAGGCGGGCAGCGTAACAGTTTGCATTTTATAGATAGATTTGCCATTTTGAGTATTCGTCACATCTGTTTGTTCACGGCCTCCCCTCCCAGTACCCTGTTCCCAGTTCCCAGTCGTGATTTCTCGCAGTTGCTGTCGGTGCGCACGTTCTAGACTTACTGTACTCTACTCTATCTACTCTTATCGTTTATAATCTTTGCAGTGAAGCGGAGCTTTGCTACATCTACATGGAATCGGAAAGCAGCGACAGCACGGACAGCGTGAACTCGATACCGCGTCCTGAATTCGAGGCCCTCTCCGCCATCGACAGCCCCCAGCCAGTGCTGCTCCTTCAGGCGGATAGTTATGATACGGAGCCCAGCATGCCACATAAGCGACAAAAGTATGTGGTGAGTGCCCCGCCCGGGTCGGCTGCTGGCAGCAGCAACTCATCAAACTCCAGCCCGTCGGCTACACTCGGCCCCTCGCTCACCATGAAACTGACCAAGGTGCCGTCACAGACGCACGTGCCGGACCTAAATCCACTGGGAACGTCAACACCGAAGGAGTCCAAGGCGCCGAAAGTGCCCAAGGAAATGATTGCCCTTCAAAAGTCCCAAATGGAATCGGAGGTGCTAAGCAACTTTGTGGCCGGTGGCTCAAAGTTGAAGCGGCGCAAGTCGCGCTTTGCCACACATCAGTTAATGAAAGAGGCCCAGGAAGCCCAGGAGGCGTCGTCCCACAAGTCTTCCTCCAGGCCCAGGAACAAGAACAAGAAAAATGAGTTTAAAAAACGCAGCAAGAGCATACCAAACCCGTGCTGGAACGCAGACGACACCGAGTGGGCAGTGGGCAAGAAGCTGGCGAAGAAAGCGCGCCAAAAGCGGGGCCGTTCGATGGTCAACGATTGCGAAGAACGCCAGCTGGGGCTCGATGCCGATGACAGTAATAGTAATTCAACGGTGGGACTGACACCCATCAATCTTCGCCCTCGCAGCAAGACCCATTCGCTTAGCAATAGCTGCAGCAATGAGGAGCAGCGCCCGACGAAGCGCGCCAATCTACGCACCGAGAACGTAGAGTTTGCCAAGAAGCATAGCGCCTTCCTGGACAGCATCATAAATGATCCGGAAGTGGAACATAACCCTCAAGCATCAAACGAAGTCGATGGCGAGTGGAACAACAGCTCAGCGGGTGGTGATACAGAGGCGGATCTGTCGTTGTTCTTGGATTTCAGTACTTTGAAGGAGCAAGAGCCCGAGGACAAAGTATACGACCGATTGATGCGCATCTACCAGCCCCCGCCAATGGTAAAAAATGTGAATAACCTTCAATGCAACATCTTCATAACTTCTCTCATGTTTTGCTCATTTTAGAACGGTTGGGATCCCTTTTGCTGGAAGTGTAAGACCCCCGGCATTATGCATCCGTGCAGCAAGTGTGTTCGCTCGTTCCACACCTACTGCGTGCGTCCAGCCACCACGAAATTCGATAGCTCCTGGAAGTGCCCCGAGTGTGTGCTGATCGAAGTTGCCTCCAAAAGGTGGCCCCAAACATTTTCACCCCACAAATGCGTGCATCTTTCTTTATACAGACAATTTTTCGGTTTTTCAGGTCACGTCGCAACGAACTCACGTCCCAGCAGCTGAACAGGGGTCTGTTATATTCGCTCGCTCGCATGAAGCTAGTACACGGGGTAAGTGATTATGCATATGCATATTACATATGTATGCATACATATTTGTGTATGTATCTCATTTCGCCATCAAGATTTTACATTATCTTCGGCACATTCGTCGAATTTTGCACAAACAGCAAAAAGTATGCGGGATATACGAGACGTTTGTCTGTCTGTTTGTGTGTGTGTGTGTTTCTTGTATTTTCCAATGTGCTGCTGTTGTGTGTTTCTTTCTTCTCTCTTCCCCCTTCTACTCGCTAACGCTTGTATTATCTCTGCAGTGACGAAATGTACTTCGAGTAGACACCTGAAATGTCTCGCTGGTTTATAGGTTTTCGCTGTCTCTCTCTCTCTCTCTGTCTAAGCTGTAGCCTATAACTGTGTGTGTGCATGTATGTGTGTATATGCTTAAGCAATAGTTTGAACCATTTTACTTACTTTACTTTAGCTTACTCAATACCGAACTTTGATAGTTTGAGCTGCATAATAATACCATTTAATATGTAAGTTCCTCCTTTCTGTTTTCTCTCAAACTAAAGTCTGTTTTCAGACTTCGTTCCTTGTTTCTGCACCATTAAGCATACGTTCTATGGGGGGCATTTATGAATTTATGTAGCCAATGTTATGTACGGACACGAAACGAAGCAGGCCAATGCTTTAGACAAAGAAACCATTTAAATATGAGTTAATTATGACGGCTTTTGGAGAGGGGGCTTTCTGTGCGCAGCGTGGAACACCATTAATTAATTAATTAATTTAATGCTTACGCTAACGCCGGCTGCGAGGCATTTAGGCATTGAACACAATTACCACCAGCTAAAGACTCGTAATTTTATGTACATAATGGAGACCATTTCCTATCTTTGGTCTACATTTAAGTTCATGCCAGTGGCAGGAAACGCCTGTAGAGGAAACAATTCAGGCCGCTGCATTGCTTTGTGGGGGTTTTGCTTTGATGTAATCCACGAATTAACATTTCCTGTGTCTGCTTGCAGATCTCGAAGCTGCGATCGCCCAAGGATGTCTTGCCGGAAACCTATAAACAATTCTTTGTGCATGTCGTGACCCTTCAGAGCCTGGCCAAGGGCATCGAAAACCAAGCCTTTGCCAGTGCAGATGCATTCATGAGCGAGGTCAAGTGGATTCATCACAATGCCCTGATATTGGACCCTGGAGGTACGTGAGCAGCAATCATCGTTGTGACCATCGTTAACACTCCTTTCGATTGCTTTCGTTCTGCAGACATCAAGGTGGAGACGCCGGCAAAGAACTTGCTGAAGGTGTGCCGCGAGGAGACCATGGAGATAGACACCTGCCCCGAGTGTTACTTGAATGCCAACTCCAGCGAGGAGTGGTTCGTGAAGGTGTGCCGCCATCCGCATATCTTGCTTTGGGCCAAGCTCAAGGGATTCCCCTACTGGCCGGCCAAGGCAATGGGCTTGACAGAAAAGGGCACGGTGAACGTGCGCTTCTTTGGCAAGCATGATCGCGCCCATGTTCATGTGAAGGATTGCTTCCTGTACTCGGCTAAGAATCCCAATGTACAGACCGGTCGTCGCATGGCCCGGGAACTGGACGATTGCATCGTTGAGGTGGGGATTCACATTGAGCACATCAATCGGAAGTTTGGCTCCTTCCACTATGCTCCCTATCGCACACCCTACGATCCGGCCGAGGAGGAGCAGCAGCTGAAGAACATGATGCCAGGCATGTACGCAGTCAACGATGACGTTATGGAGCCGGCCAACAAGACGCCGTTGCAGTATCTCATTCGCGAAACGGCGGACGGTAAGTTGTCCATTGTGAAGAAGACAAAGGCCGCCACAGAGTCGGGCAATGAGTCGTCGGATCAGTCGGCTAGTCCGACAAAGACAAGGAACCTGCCACCACCAGCACTGCCGCCGCCACTACCCCGACTACCATCGTCGCAGCTTCAGGGGCTAGACCAAGCCACGGTCACGGCCTCCAGCAGTGAGCATGTCAAGCAGAAGAGCATCAACTACGAGGTCATACCCCGTCCGGCTGAATCGCTGACCGACTCTCGCTGCAAAGTGCTGCTCAAGCGGAAGAACCTGGCAGCAAAGACCTCACCAGTCTTCGTCGTCGCAGTGGAGAATCCAGAGGTGGTCGGCAAGAGGCGTAAACATTCCGTGAGCGATACCAGCGGCACCTCCGAGTCGACTCGTCGCGAGAAGCATGCACATGCCCGCAAGCAGCTGGCAGTGGAGGAACAGGCAAGGGCACAGGCACAAGCACAGCAGAGGGAGCAGGAGCAGGAACAGCAAGCGAATAATCGAGTTGAAGCGAAGCAGGAGAAGAAGGATGATTCCCTTTTGTCTGAACTTGATTCGGAGATGCATTTACAATTCTCTGACTCACAGAACGACACCCCGACCGATCCTCTAGGCGGATTGGTGGATAGCGTTAGACGTCGTCAGGGCGTGACCATCACCAGAATATCACGCGAGCAACAGGCGGCCTCGTCTAAAAGTGTCGCCCCCTCTCCAGAAGCCGCCAAGCCGGCGGCCAAACAGACACCGGAAAGAGCCGAGACAAAGGGCATGATGAAGAGGTCCGATGTTGAGCGTCAGCAGGTCCAGCTCATCAAGAAAGTGATTCCATTTTTCGAAGTTGAAGTCAAAGCCGAAGTGATATCGGAACCAGAGCCCGAGGAAGAAGCTCCCAAGCTGCAGGAATCTGCCCCCAAGACACAGGAGTCTGCCCCCAAGCCGCAAGAGTCTGCCGAGAAGTCACCCAAGCCAGCTAAGGAACAACAAAAGCCACCGGCAGTTAAGCCACAGAAGCAGAAAGCACAGAAGGAGCCAAAGGATAAGCCGGCTAATCCACCGCAGGAACCGAAGATCACAGTGCCTGTGCCCACACCACCGCCAGAGCCAGTCGAGGCTCAGCCAGCCGCTGTCGCTGTTGCGGAGCTTGTGACGATCAAGGAGGAGATTTTCAGTGAGGAGGAAATGGAAGTGGAAACTCAAGCGGATGTGGAAATGGAGACGGAGACAGAGATCCACACGGTTAGACGTAGCTTGTTATTGCCACAGGTAATGCCGCCACAGGCAATGCCGCCGCCACCGCAGTCACAGCCCCCCGAGCCAGTGCAACCGATGCGCGAGGAGACGCCCACAGTCCGTTATGTGGGCGATACGTCCATCCAAAAGATCAGCCACAAGCAAGCAGCGGCCAAGGCCATGGACGCACCATCCAAACGTCGAGGCGTACCATATGGCCCACTGCCGCTTTCGGGCCAACCATCCACCTCGCCAGCGCACTCGCCAGGGCCCGTGCCGGGCGTCAAGCCGCATGGCGTGTACGTTGCGAGCAAGCCACCGACACCTGCGCCGGCACCACCAAATCTGCGACTGAAAGGTGAACGCAATTCCACTCAAACGCTGCCGCAGACACCACCGTCGCTGAGTGGTCTGCCCTGCTCATCGCCCACTACATCGAGCCTGCTGCGATCCAACATGGTGGTCATACCGGTGGAGCAGGCAAGCAGTCTGATCAGCCCCATGACGATACCAGTTCCTCCCCTGAGAGCCGTGTCCAAGATCACGCTCCAGAACTCGACATATCTACCGAGCATTCCCGTTCCCCCAGGTCCCCAGCTGGGCTCCGTACTGTCCATGCCACCGCCTCTGGCTGGTCTGAGCGTTCCCCAGATGGGCACACCCACATCCACAGCCACATCCATGCAGCCCACCATGGAGCCGAGTGGCCTGCTGGCCAATGCACTCAACGGACTGCCCAGCGAGACCTTGGTGAGCAGCGAGTCTACCCGCAATGATTCCTTCTTGGCCATGAATGATATACTCATGCGCTCCGGTCCGCCCAAGCTGGTGCCGCGTCCCTGTGGTCCGCTGCAGTCGGATGGCTCCCAAATCTATCCATCGCAGGCGGGGCCCGTCTCTCAGCGTCTCAAAGACAATGCACACAAGGTGAGCTAAACCCGAAAAATAATTCCCATGCGCTCTATTAATAATCGTTTTGATTTGCTGCAGATCACGGACTACTTTATATCCGTCATCGAGGACACGCTCACCGATCTGGGTGCGGGTGATCAGGATATGCTGCAGGCTCGCGTCACCAGCCTCACCCTGGAGAACGAGCGCCTCAAGCAGGATTACAACCGCAAGATATCTGAGATGAAGCGCACCCACGAGCAGAAGATCAAGGAGCTGCACAAGGCGCAGGAGCAGGAGTACAAGCGCATTATCAGCGAGATACGTCAGCAGAGCACATTGGAACGCATTCATGCCGTTGATGAAACCAAGCGGAAACAGTGGTGTGCCCATTGTATGCGTGAGGCGCAGCTTTACTGCTGCTGGAACACCTCGTACTGCGACTATCCCTGCCAGCAGGACCACTGGCAGCGTCACTCGTCCACCTGCGGCCAGGCCGGCGCATTGGGGCTGGGGGAAACGATCGACTTAACGCCACCGCCAGTGTCCGAGCCAACCCGCCTTAGGCCCAAGCCAACGACTGCCAGTCCCACGGCCACAGTGACTGCGAGTCCGATGGCCACAGTCACTGCCAATCCAATGGCTACAGCGACTGCGAGTCTGGTGGCTACACCGATGCCAGTACCGACATCAATGCCAGCCCCAATACCAACGTCTGCACCGACGCCTGCTCCCAGTAACGTGATTGCCGCCCCACAGTTGCATCGGTCAGCCCTCAGTGGTATTCCAATGGCCACTGCATCGGGATCGGGAACAGCCTCCGGATCTGGTGTACCTGGTGCCCTGCCAGCTCCCAAAAAGTGGCAGACCATGATGTCCTTTACGGGTCTTCCCACCAATCAGGAGAGTCTGCTCAAGCAGTCTGGTCCCCTGCTGGCCGGACTGCCATCCAGCACATGTGTGCGCCCAGTGGTCAGCGCCACGCAAACATCCGCGACATCAGTCAGCAACATGATCCACACGACCTCGTTAATAACACCAGCAGCGCCATCATCGACCGCGCATATTGGCACCATCATAACCGGCCCGCGCAATACCATGAACACGTACAACAACGCCATGAGCTATGCCAGTCGACTGCCTACACCACAGTCGATGTCCATGCCGCCATACAGTTTACCAGTATGTTGCCCACAACTCCGCCCCATTCGATTAATGTGTGACTTTTCTTTGAAACATTTGTAGGTACCCATCTCTGTGCCCAACAACGTTGTGCCGTCGTACACTGTGTTGGTAGAGCAAGCGCCAAAGCCAAGGTCCACGGGTCGCAGGGGACAAAACCGCAACCGCAACAACGCAAACTCCGACGCCAACAATGGCATCAGCACGATGGGAATGCGCCACAACCAAGTGAACCAAATGCAGTTTCAGCAGTAAGGATTGTCACTGCAGGAAGAGTACATACATAATTTCCCACCCGAAGTGACGGCCTGTGATGGAGGACGAAATCTTTTCTACATAATTCCCAGATATTAAGAATATCTCAAACAGAAAGAGTTTTTTTATGTTTTTTTCTTTATTACGTTACCCATTGAAGGGAGGATTACCATTATTAAGTATATTAACCACACTTTACATCATTTACACAACTAAAAGACGTTTTTTGCTTGCAGATAATTTCATTAAAGCTTTGGCAGCGAACCTACCAGAGATTACGAGAAAGGATCTCGCACCGACGAAGTGTGTAAAAAAGTCATTTTTTGTATAATTTTCAATTTGTAGAATAATACCGAGAGTACACCGCTAAGTAGTTAGACTAAGAACTGTGAACCGCATAGCCAGTATAGGTCCATAAGAAGAACTTATGCAAAACACAACTCAGAATCATCCCCGCACATTCTCAGTTGAAGAATCAAACACATCGCATCGATTACATAGATTTTATGTATTAAAACTAAAACAAGCAAAGCTGCATTACTGAAGTTATAAGATAGCAACTTAAGGCGTAACTAAACTGTATAAATCGTTCGAATTATTATTTTATTTTGATTTATCGGTTAAACAAGTAAATGTTTAAACAGTTAAAAAAAACAGACACCTGTAAAACAAAATGTATTCTCCCTTAATGATAATAGTTATTGCCACAAAAATGTTCAATCAATGTCCAACTTCTTGAAGTTGCCCTCGATGCCAAAGAGATCAGAGACGGTCTTGGCTTTGCCGGGTCTCAGTTTCTCATTCACCTGATGGCGCGTCTCAAACTCGAGCATTTCCTTGCGATTTTGTAACAATTTCGTGTAATATATATCTGCAAATGTGTCAACAAATAACATTTAAAATCCATGTAAGCAATAAACTAAGGCTCACCCCTAGCCACACTGGTCTCCTCCCCCAGTCCGCCGTAGTCCTTGGGCAGCATTTCGCGCGGCACAAATTTATAGAAATCATTTATGTCATTGTGCATATGGAGTACGCTCGACAGTTCCTTCTTCATAAAAGGATTCATCAGAGCCATGATCTTGTCCATGAACGGCACAATGTTGACAAAGTGAAAACCAATCAGTCGTATGGCAGCCGCTTCCTACAGCAAAGGATCAACTAACATATGCTTTAACCAAGAGTTTAACAGGTTACCTGCAGGTAGAAGAGGAATTTCTTCATTTGAAGCAGTCCAATGCGTGCCAAGTGGCCCAAGGCACAGCCCTTCAGATCGATTACAATCACATGTCCCGGCTGTATGCCATCCTCGTACATCCAAAAGTCGAATATCATGCAATATCTGATAGTGCAAGGCGTACAAAATACAGAACGTTAAGGCAAGGCATAGAGATATTAGTAGCCCCATTATAATTGTTATTAATTTAATTGTTTTATTTTAATTGAGAGCCATTATACCGAGCGCACACATCAACTGAGATCTGAGCTAGTGCCAGAGTATCTATAGCTAAGTGACTAACTACTGTATCTGTTTCTGTGTCTGTATCTTGCGTGCGTGCACGGACAACTATTTGGGTTCGCTTGTCGGGGTTGGGGTTGTGTTCGGGGTGGGCACCGTTGACATTAAACACTTCGGACCTTAATCTCTTCATGTTTCAGTGTGCCTTGTCATAATCACGCTACACGTCCCACAAGCAAATGACGTCCAAATTGCACTTAACTAACTTGGCAATAATTGTCGGCCATTAATACTAATGTTGAGCAAGAGTTTGGGGAATTCGGACATTGCTTTTTTGACTTGCAAGTCGAAAGTAGCCACCAGCCAGGTAGAGTAGGAAAGTAATTTGCAGGAGTATTAGGCATGACTAATCCGAGTTAATCTTTCATTTTGTACTCCACTTACAGCTTCATGGCATCCGCAAAGTTATAGTTCGATGCATTGAGGTCGTCCAGCTTGGCGACAATCACACGATAGCCCTCGGGCGTGGCTCCAGGCAGGGGCACAATGGAACTGCAATTACACTTGGAAATAATTTTGATGGAATTCTCAGTACTCAAGCCTGGGTCCTACATTGTCTTCATGGCACGCCGCAGCTCGGGTCGCTCGCAGTCGAGGTTCACAAAGAACTCATCTAGGTGGGTGCGTGCGGTGAGATTGATGTCCAGGACCTGCTTTGCCACCTCCATGCTGTAGCGGCAGGCGTGGAAGAAGTGCAGGGCTTCGCCCTCCGAAAAGTTATCCGAGATGTGAGGCTGGACGTGGATCCATTCGACAAACTTTTGCACCTCCGAACGCTTGATCTCCGGAAAGCGGGCATATTGTTCCTCCAGATCGGCCTCCTTCATCTCTTGCTGGCACTGCTCCTGATTGGATGGACGGATGGGATCTGCGGAAGTTGCGAGTGCAAGTTCGAGGAGTACTTTTGATTTTAGCGTTGCTCGTGCCCGAAACGCGTTTCCAGCTAACGGCGGTCGACTGTCGAATGAAATGGAAATGGAAGCTGTTTGCTTTCGCAAGTGAAACTGGTTGGATTGTCTGTTGTCTGGCGATTTCGGCAAGCAATTTCAACTACGTTCGGGATCGCATCGGGACTCGATTGTGGGCTGGTGGCTGCTTGCTCTGGGGGGAGTTGGGTATGAGTCCCCAACTGTGGAGTGGCGTGTGCTAGCCGAGAGGCAGACAGCGGACAGCAGACGCTGCTGTTTTGGGGGAAAACTGCAACTGGCTTTCGTTCGTTCATCGTCGTCATCGTCGTCATCGGCTCATTTCACTTCCATCCATCCACTTGCGTGAAAATGTAGTTTTTCTTCTCTCGCCAAACTGTTATTATTTTTATTATTCTCTGCCTCTCTCTCTCTCTCTCTCTCTCTCTCTCTGTTTCTTTGTATCTTTTGGGTTGCATAACATGTGATCAAGTGATTGGGCGGTCGGCTCCAAGGCGAATGGCCTGTTATTATTTCGCATGGCGTGTGCTGGGGCCGACCAAGGGGTTCCAGCTCCTTCATCAAATCCAAAATGTGATGCTTGAGTGGCGAAAGGGAGTTATGATATGTGTTTGGTTTTTGTGGGATCAACTGAAGGTTGACGTGGACGTAATAAACAGATACAAATTATGGCACGGTGCAAAGTTTGTGGAGATCAATTTTTTTGTGTGAAATTTGAGTTAAAAACTAACTTATAAATCTTCTAGATAGATGGAAGTTTATAGGCAAAAAGAGATCGTTAGTCGCAACAGGCTGAAAATATCTTCAAAGAGGTCTTATTACATGCATTTTCTTCGCAAATATCCCTACAATAAACGAGTCTCTGCTCTGACTGGAGTGCCACTATGGTGATAGACAGAGGACGGAACTGCCCTAAGTGGGCATTGAACGCAATCCAAATACCATCTCCTGATGTACCAGGCTGCGGAGTACCCACGAGAGTAAACTGGAACCACTCAAACGAAGCATCCTTCAGCCAAATAAGATGTCACCACTCCATGGAGTTCTCATGGCGCTCTTCTACAGATAGATCATTCCTCTAGCTGTAGTCTTTCAACTTGGTCTTCTTCTCTTGCCACACAACTACGACGGCCTCATTTCTGAGGCAGACACTTGACATTTTGCCAGCAGCAGCAGCAGCAGCAGCGGCAGCAGACACCAGCCAAGCCAAGCTCAGGCAAGCCACCAAGTGGACGACAAGCAACCTGGCAGGCAGCCTCTGGCTGTTTCTGTTGCTTTTTCTGTGGCAGTGGCATGCTCAGAGCTCCGCTCCGCTCAGCCGGTGCGCCACTTTGGCGTGTCTGAAATTCCAAACGGATTAGAAGCCGCGCGCAAAGAGCAAACGGCAAACGGCAAATGTTTGCTGCCAATGGCAGCCCAACCAGTTTACGCGCCAGAGAAGGCCTTGTATTATTTTGGCCCCAAAGCTGGCAGCGAATCAGTGGCAGAGGCAGGCGTCGCGTGGTGTCAGCCTCGAGTGTCCATCGTCCAACTAGGCAACTGCCATGCCGAAATTAATTATCAATTCCTCCAAACCCAAACACAAGTCGGAGTCCAAGTTCGACTTGCTGGTGGGGTCAGGTGGCAGCACACTGAAGGGGACTGAGGCCAGACATCAGTTTTTTCGCAATGCTGACCCAAAAAAATCAATCGCAGGAATGTTTGCATGCTAATCGGGGATCAGGTTTTGAGGCTCACGATGATCATGAAGGTGCTGCTGGCAGATACTGGTACTCCGACTGTTGCTGTTGCTGTTGCTGTTGCTGTGGCTTCTTGTGGATAATGATGATGTTGTCATCGTTTGGCAACTTGTGTCGACGTTTTATGTTGCCGTCACGCACCGAGTCCTATGTCGCCTTGCTTTTCGTGTGTCTGTTTCTTTCGTTCTGTGTACGCGCGCGCACTCTTGTCCTCCTTTGGCCCTGCCCAGTTTTTTGTGGCTGGCTTTTATTTGTTCTTTTGCCATTTTTCACGCATTTGACTGCATTACTTAACCTCAATTGAGCTGGCGACGTGCCTCACTCCCATTGCACTCCCCACTCCCAGTCCCCGTTCCATTCCCCGTTCCTTTCCCCGTTCCATCCTCGGGCAAATGTTGCCGTTGCCGTTGCCCGTTTCCGTTGGCCTCCGCCGAAGCTCCGTTGGACAAATGAAGTTGTCGCGTCGGTTTACAACAATTTGCATAACTGCCCCATGCACCCTGCCTCCCCCCAATCCTCGCCAGACGTGCAAACGTGAGCGGTGAGCGGATCCTGTCCTGTTTCAATTGTCGATCGATGGAGCCGCAGTACCAGCACCAGCCTCAGACCTGACTCATTTGTATGGGTTGCCCTGCTGCCGCCTCCTCTCCTCTCCTGTCCTCTTTCTCCTCTAACAATTGAATGGTGTCGCTGCGGATGGACAGAGGGTAGAGAAGGTGAGATAGGTCTCTTACCACGCGTTTGTCGCTCGCCGGCTTAAAAAGCTTCGATTGTTCTCGCACTCACTGGCTCTCTCTCTCTCTCTCTCTCTCTCCCACTCTTTGTCTAAAACTTGTTTGCGCATGCGCGCCAACTTTTGTGTTTACCCTCTAGGGAGAGGGTATTATGATTTTGATCAGATGAACAGCATCAACAGCAGAATTAATATTATCTATGAGCAATAATTCACTCTTGTTTCTTTTGTGTTTCCTGGCAAATCATGAAGCTGCCATGTAATATTTATGCCGAATATTTTGTACCGTTTCCCATTTGCCAGGGTATCAAAAGCTTCGTCTTATCAAAATGCCATTCTCTCCTTTCTTTTTTTTAGTGTTTTATTTTCATGTCGCTCTTTTTTTTCTGTTATTTTAGCGGTTTTTGTTTTGATTTCTGATTGCCGTTCGAAT